TCTGTAGTTAACTTCAGAGTAGGTCTGACCTGCTCTGTTTGGAAAGCTGTGAGACAACTGTTGTTGTGATGTGGCGCTATAGAAATAAAATTGAATTGAATTGAATTGAGATAGAGTCCAGTAACTAACATGTCCCCCAAAGACCAGACCCCCCCCCCCCCCCCCCCCCCCCATTGGGGCTTTAACACTCACCTGTGTGTGGTTTCTGACCCCAGCCCCGGAGCCCCCCCCCCACCTGTCGGCGCGGCGGGCCTCGGCCAATGACACGATGGAGCTGAGGTGGGCGTCGCCCGCCGGGGGGGACTGGGACGACTTCGTCCTGCAGTGGACGCCCGCCGACCGGCTGACCGTCACCCAGCAACTGACCCGCAGCACGGTCAGGGGCATGTTTCCCGGGCGACGGTACAACTTCACCTTGGTGACCGTCAGTGGGGGCGGAGCCAAGGGAGGCCCCGTCACCAGGAGCCAGCCAATCCAGACCAACATCAGGACAAGTGGGTGGAGCTTCTTTACCAGATAGGGGGAAACAGATGGAGATTCTTTATGATTATTAGTTTAATCTGGATGAATGTGGCAAAAAAAAAAATTTTTTCTTGTTTTTAGGGAAACAGAATAAAGCCAAAAAGGGTTTTTTTTTTGGCTTTTTTTCTTGACTTTTTCTTTTCTTTTATTATTAATATTTACTTTTATTTAGCCTCACTGATGATCAGTTTAATCTGGATGAATATGGCAAAAGTCTTTAGGTTTCTTTTGTTTTTTGGGAAACAGAATAAAGCCAAAAAGGGGATTTTTTTTTTATAATTGTACACTGATTTAGGGATGTCCCGATCCAGCTTTTTCCACTTCCGATCCGATCCCGGCCTATCAGAGCATGTGTTAAAGTCTAAAGTTATTTATCTACTTACTTAGTTGTCAGACTCATGTTGAACAGGGATTTACTCTGATAACAACTTAATGGTTATGACACAGACCTGTGGGTTACAGATGCTAATGCTAATGCTCGTGTAGGATATCAGACTTAAAAAAAAAAAACTTGAATGTGGCAAAAGTCTTTAGTTTTTTTTTTGTTTTTAGAGAAACATAATAAAGCCAAAAGGGGATTTTGTACAGTTGTACACTGATAATTGGTTTAATCTGGATAAATGTGGCAAAAGTCTTTGTTTTTAATCAGAAACAAACTTTACTAGAGACATAGAGCTGAAATGTTGGAGGCGTCTGTTTGCCACTAGGTGGCAGCAAAAGGAAGCAGCAGCCTTCTGCTTCTCTGGATCCATTTTTAATCATTTTTCTGTGAGCTTTTAGCTGGAGGGATCAGAACTGGTCAAAGTAAATCCAGGCCACATTTACAGTATTCATAAATGTGACCCAGTTTCCTCCTATTTTTCCTAGTTTGAGCCAAACAGAACAGTCTTTTCCCACATAGTTAATATCTGTTATTACAGGAAGGAACGGCCTGAATTAGTCAGTTTTACAGAGTGTGAAATGTCCTCTTACCGGGAGGATGCAGACTTTAAGGCAGGGTTTTCAAACTCCAAAACACAGGGGGCCAAAATTTTAAACCTGAACAAAGCCGTGGGCCAAGATTGAATGAATTAACGTTTTAATGTGGAACCAAACAAATTTAGCTTTAACATTGAATATGGAACAAGCAACTCTTATTACAATATAAATAACTTAATAGTGGAGACATGCAAAAGCAATTATCAACTACAAAAAAGCACATCAATGGCATTAATTTATTAAATAAGATTTTAAAACATGTTTCTATTGGCAGCCTTCTGAATTAAATATCTAAATGAAATGTTCTTGTCCAGAAAGCTCCTGTTTTCTGGGTCCTGTCCTGAACAGCAGCAGGGCATTATGGGAGTTGTAGTATGAGTGGTTAATGGTCTTGTCATTTGGTATTGTCTCGTGGGCCAATTATATTTTTACAACCAGAGTTTGACCCCCCTGCTTTAAGGGGTCCAGTCTCTGGATCAAACATTTCCCCTGAATCAGCTCCATCTCAGTCTCAGGATGACAGATGATCCTCCTCCATCCTCTCTAAAAGAGGCGTTTTTATCCTCCCGGCAGCTCGTTTTCATCCTCAGCCTTTCGCCGGCTCTGGATAAATCCTGTGTGGGGTTTATTTATTTATTTATTTATTTATTTCTCCCCCCCAGGCCCGTCCCCTCTGAGGTCCATCCACTGCCTGCCCGTCTCCTCCTCCTCCCTGTCCTGCTCCTGGTCGCCGCCGCTCGCCGACTTCGACTCCTACGAGGTCGAGTGTCGTCGCCACGACGACGGGGAGCTGACCCAGGAGCTGAGGCTGGCCGGGGGCGTTACCGCGGTAACACTGGACCGCCTGGACGCCTTCAGGAAGTACTCTGTGACGGTCAGGGTGTCGTCGGGCGGGAAGACGAGTCCACCGGTCACTCAAACCACCGTCACCATGATCGACCGTGAGTCTGACACACACACACACACACACACACACACACACACACACACACACACA